ATAAAAGGAGTGGTTTAAATGCGAACAAAAAAAGTTAAAAACTCTGAGAATCATTTTTTTTTAATTTTTTGATTAAGAACATTTGAGACAAATCAAACACTAATATTATATTAAACAAACTTTTTTCCATTCCTTAGTTTACAGCTAGTTGTGACTTGTTGTTCGATCATCATCGGACCCTACTGGACCGCCGCCGAATAACACCAAATTCAGTGGAATTTTTCTGTTCGTATTCACAGTTTAATAGAACAAACATTGTAGCTTTTTTCTATTTGGTAATACGTTTTAACACAGGTCATTTGTTTTTTGAAGCCAAATATACAAAATTTAATAAAAATAAAATAAAATTATGACGTGACAAATTAAAATTTTCTTTATTCTAAATTGTAGATTTCTTTAAAAAAAATATATCGTTTATAAAACTTATTCACAGTATAAAATATCATATTCATGGTTTAATAAATATATTAATTCACTAATACACAATTTAATATTTTCGTGCGTACATTCATTTATATTTTTACATCAAATTTATATAAAACATATAACTTAATACAATCTATTTTTTATTTAATACATAAAATTCACAACATAATACAATATATTATACACTAATTCACATATTCAAATAAGTCAAACACAAACTCTAACACCACCACCACCACCACCACCACCAACTCCCACATGCCACTACCAACCACTTATGCCAACACCGCAATCATCATTTCTTCTAAATCAAATCTGTATATAAAAATTTTGACTGACAACTTAAATACTATATTTACAATTTAATAAACTAATTAATTCACTTATTTTGAATTTAATGCAAAATAATTGTAGAAACTAATATGTTCTTACATATTTATACAACAAAAAATAAGTATATTCATAAGAAAATTAATACAAACATTCATACATAAATTATTTAAAATTGAACACAAAATTCATTAACAACTCACAGCTTAATACATTAAATTCACAACTTAATACAGTCAATTCAAATTTTAATACAAAAAAATTCACAACTTAATATACAATTTCACTGTTTAATACACAAAAATTATACATTAACTATCATATTCTCAACTTAAAACTTAAATTTATACTTTCTGATTTATAGGCTAATGCTCATGACATAGCGTTCGCCACCGGGAGTGTCATTGCCTCTACGTGACCATTCCACCAAGAGAGAGCTTCATCGACGAATGTGCATGCCGCAAACTTGACCTTACACCCTTCCGGACATCCACATATCTCAAACATTGATTCCACCTTTTCTATCCATCTTTTCAGGGTTATTACGTGTGACAACCCGAAAATTTTTGCCTTATAAAGTCAGTACAATCAACCTTAAGTCAGACTCGCTCCTGCTATTTTTAGCACTGTTTAGAGTCTGTTTTAGTGATTCTAAGCCTAGTACACTTAAGGAATGAGTGTTAGGAAATACCTGCTAGAGTCACTGCACAACATTCTAGCCTTAAACCCCACCAAAAGGAGTTCACGGCCATAGCACATGAGTTTACGGCTGTAAACTAAAGGTTGGCCGTAAACTCCGCCTTAAAGTCTCATTCCCTTCACTTTTCTTTCATTCTTACACTTTCAACTCAAGAACACTTCCATTCTCTCTCAAGTATCATCGATATTTTCATTCCTGATCATCCAAAAAGTAAGTAATTCTTCCCTTTAATTGTTGTTATCCTTCTTACTTATGAATCATCCTTTGATTTCATCCATGGAAATCAACTTTTTACTAGATCTTCAACTTTCACCAAGAACACACACTTGTTCTTGGTGGCCGCAAACTCCTCTAGGGCCCTCAAAAGTGTGAGTATTCCATCTATCTTCTAGTTAGCCATGTTAGACACTAGATCATAACCTTGAAACATCACCAAACTCAACATCAATGAGAGTTTACGGCCAAAGAGCATCCCCCTTGGCCGTAAACCCTTGTATTTGTCATGTTTTGAGCCTTAAACACTTCTAGACCTTTGCTAACCATTAGAACACTTGAACCTTTGAAACCCTTTCCTTTAAGACCCAAAATGAGACCATTTGGAGAGTTTACGGCCATACACTTTTTAGTGTGGCCGTAAACACCTCAACACCTCCTTTAATGTTAGTTTTGCTCATCCTCTTGTAGAGCAATAGTCCCACAAGTTCCCCCATCATTCAAACACCCTCTTATGCACATTTTAACATGAGTTTACGGCCGTAAACTCCATGGCCGTAAACCCATGGTCATAAACACCATTTCTTGGCCTTAAACATCCCTTAGATGAATCACATGTGATTCCATCACTTAGTCCAAGTCCTTAAGGGTGTTTCCTTTCATATAGTTGCTTATAAACACTATATACATGCCATATATGTCATTTAGGACTCGTTTGTGTCTCGGGACTTCATTCGTGGAACTCCTCATCCTTACGCGCATATTCGTTTGAAT